CACACACACACACACACACACACACACACACACACACACACACACACACACACACACACACACACAGACACAGACACAGACAGACAGACAGACAGACACACACACACACACACACACACACACACACACACACACACACACACACGCAGACACACACACACACACACACAGAGACAAACAAACACTCCTCCGCGCAACGCTCCTCCCTGCCCATCTGCCTACATGACAACATACCGTGGAAACACCAGAAGGGAACGTTGTCTTCATGGTTGGGCGAGGCAGGAGGTGTGTGCACTTGACGCAGGCGAATTGAGGCGCGTAGAGAGGGTACCCAGATACGCAGTGCGGGTGAGCTACATTTGAACAGAACTCACAACACAGCAGTGAGCCGTGCTCGCCACACACAAAGCACGTGTCACCCCACGACTCCATCTTGCGGGGCTTCCGCTGCTGCTGCTGCTGCTGCTGCTGTTGTTGTTGTTGTTGCTGCTGCTGATGGTGGTTGAGCTGGTGTTGCAGTTGGTCGAGTTGCTGTTCAAGCCGGTGCTTGTGTTGCAGCTGTTGTGTGCGGAACAGCAGCAGCTGCGAATTTTCGTGTTGCAGCTGCGTAATACGCTGCAGGCACTCCTGGCGCCGTTGCTGCTCCTGCTTCAGCTTGAGCTGCGACTGCTGCACGGCCTGTTGCAAGTGCTGCTGACGATGCTGGCTCTGTTGCAGCTGCAGACGCACCACCGACGCCTGTTGCACCTGGCCCTGCATGGCTGCCTCCCGCTGTCGGGACTGCTGCTGAAGCCGCTGCACCTCCGACTGCCACCGCTGCTCCGTGTTCTTCCTCTCCGCCACAAACTTGACCATCTGGTTGAAGTCATCGGCCAGCTTCGCCACGCGCTTCACAACCGTCACAGCCGCAGGCACCACTGCTGCGTGGCCGGGCACGGCCTGCATCTTGTCGAGCAGGTCGCGCGCAGCGTGCAGCAGTGGGATGACGGGGCTTGAACTCGCAGCGGCGTGGAGATCAGCAATCACGATGCCCAGCCGGTCGCTCAGCAGGGCAAGGGCATTGGACCCTGCGGGCTCGGGTGGCGCGGGCGACACCGCGTTGGGCACAGCAGCGGATATGCGCTGCACTGCGCTCGGTGTTGTTGGCGCCGGTACCGCTGCCGTCGTCACACCCGCAACCACGGGCGACAGCGGGGAGGGGGCGGATGATTGGGGTTGAGCAGACGCCCATGCAAGCGTTGCTGCTGTCGAGGAGGAGGAGAAGAAGGAGGAGGTTGGCGCGGTTGTTGCTGTCATCGCAACCACAGGCCTCCTCGTGCTTGGTGCTGCCGGCGTTCCGTACACACTTATGTACGGCTGGAGGTTGGAACGCGAGGCGCCGGGTGTGGATGTGTGTGGCGTGGGTTGTGTCGTGGGTTGTGTCGTGGGTTGTGTCGTGGCCGGTGCAGCTGCGAGTGGCGATATCTGAATCGCGGATCGCGGAGTTGCCGATGGCGCATATGACGATGGCGAAGACACGCCAGAGGTCACCGGTTGTTGTTGTTGTTGTTGTTGTTGTTGTTGTTGTTGTTGTTGTTGTTGTTGTTGTTGCTGTGCTTCTGTTGTCTTCGCACGCTTGGGTGGGAGGTGCTCATGGGCCGATGTCGATGTTTCTGCTTCCTCTTGCGCCTGTTGGTCGTGCTGGGCGCCGCTCTCCTCCTCCTCCTGTTGCTGCTGCTGCTGCTGCTGCTGCTGCTGCTGCTGCTGCTGCTGCTGCTGTTGTGGTGGTGTGGCTGCCTTGACAGGCCTCCTTGCACCTTGCGTTGCCGAAGTTGGTGCTTTGACAGATGTCTTTGTCAGAGTGCTTGTCCTTCTCTTCTTCGTCTTTGCACTCCTAAGAGCGCCCGCTTTTGTCCTGTCGGGTTGTATCGTCGCTGGCGAATTCGACTGATCAGCGGCACCCGTCTCTGCGGTCGCTTCAACACCACGGCCGCCACCACGACGAGCACCATCATCATCATCCCCACCCGTGCTGGCTTCCTCCTGCGCCGCACCTGTCGTTTCGGCCTGCACCTGCTGGCGGGATCGCCGGCGCGTCGTGACTGCTGGTGCTGTCTCCGCTGCTGGTGCTGGTGCTGCCTTCGCTGCTGGTGCTGGTGCTGCCTTCGCTGCTGGTGCTGGTGCTGCCTTCTTGGGTGAAGTGCCTGCCTTTCGCCGCTGAGCCGCGGCACCCTTTGCTCCTACCGTAGCCGCCGGTGTTGTTGTTGTTGTTGCTGATGTTGTTGTTGTTGTTGTTGGTGCTCTTGTGGACGGTGTTGACGCTGCCTTGCTTGTTTGGCTGCGCTCTTTCTTCTTCTCCTGCTGACGCTGGGACTGCTTCTGCTTCGCTGGTGTTGCTGCTGATCTCCTCTTCCTCGGCGTGCTGGTCTTCTTCGCCCTCTTTGGGGCTTTGGCCTGCGCACGCTGCTTCCGCTCATACTCTTTCACCTGACCATTACAGAATGTGTGCGACACCATGAGCATGGGATTGCAAGGCGGGGGCAGGCTGCACTGTGAGCACGTTTCAAGGGCTCAAGGCGGTTGAGAGTAACATGAAACGCTGGTGCAACAAAGCGGATGGATGCGCGTGTGTGTGTGTGTGGGGGGGGGGGAGGGACAAACAAAGCACAACACCACCCGACCTTACCAGCGCTTCGCAGCCAAACATCTCGTCTTCTCTCTGCCATGTTGCTTCTTCTTCTGGGTACCCTTTCCACTACACAGCCAGCAAAAACCAAAGGGAGGCGTAAGGAAAGCACCAAGCACGAAAAGACACGTGTGTGTATGTGAGGGGGGGGGGAGGGAAGGAGGTGGCTGAGGCGAAACACAGAGAGAGAGAGAGAGAGCGACAGGGCCAGAGCGACAGACAAAGAGACAGACCTATAGTTTAACAGAGACAGACAAAGCAATGGACAGATAGTTAGACAGACGGACACACAGACACAGACATAGACAGGTGAATACACAGATAGATGACACAGACACAGGCTGACCTTGAGGTAGTAGCATTTGACGCCTTCCTCCAAGACAAAGTGGTCCAGCACCTTCTCCACTTCATACACTTCTTCATCTAAGGAAGTGAAACACACGAACAAGGCAGGCGCGTGATCAATCAGTGGGGAATAATGGGCATTGTCGAAGTTAGCGGTAGGGGAAAGGGCAAGAAGCAAGGTACATGTCGAGGGTGTGGCATGTGGGTAGTGGGTGGCTGGGAGTCGGGAACAGCAGGGAGATGCTGCCGACATGCGTTTGTGAGCTGTGCTCGGTCGAGGAAAGACTGACCATCGCCGCCTTCTTCAGGACTGGTGCCTTCCGCTGGAGACTGTGTTGAACGCCTTGTCTTTGGCCTTTTGTATCGTGGTGGTGGTCGTGGTGGTGATTGTGGTGGTAGAGGCACGAAGCAAGAGAGCGTGGTGTGACAGGGGTGAGCAGCGCGATGACATGAGACAGTGGAGGAGAAAGTTAGCAGATGATTGGTTGTCAAACGTTTGCTGGTTTGGGTTGGGGAGACATGGACAGAGCTTGGATGCTGCCTTGCACAAGCTGTGCGCGTGGTGCGTGCGTGGTGCGTGCGTGCACAGCAACAAGGACGACGACAACAACAACGACAACAACAACAACAACACCGTCGCACATGATGCTTTGCTGGATGTGGCTGCTTGGTCGACCGTCCGTCCGCAGTCGGCAGTGAGCAGCGGTGTGTGGATTGGCGCGGTTTGCCGAACTTCACCACATGTTTTCCAACAACTTTCGACACTTTTGTGTGTGTGTGTGTGTGTGTGTGTGTGTGTGTGTGTGTGTGTGTGTGTGTGTGTGTGTGTGTGTGTGTGTGTGTGTGTGTGTGTGTGTGTGTGTGTGTGGCAGAGCTGTCTCACAACAGTCTCACTGGACTTGGCGTGCTCGCAACAGGGGTGTGACCTTTTAAAGTTACTTGTGGTGAAGCATGTGCCGACACAACACACCAAATGAAGCAGAAGAAGAAGTAGCGGGCAGAGTGAGAAAGTAAGCATGTGTACAACGTGGAAAGACGCTTTGTTCCGCAGCTACTCATCTCTTCGCCCACGCGCGCCCTTAAGATGCGCCTCGCTGTCCGCATCCTACACTGAAATGGGTGATCATCTCCACAAGCATCATGACCACCACAACCATACACACGTCATGCACACGTCATGCACACACACACACACACACACACACACACACACACACACACACACAGTCATCAATACCAGCACCATCATCACTGCAAACAACAGCGGCAGTGCTGCCAGCAGGTGCATCCAAAGTGGGTGTGCTCAGTCTGTCCATCTGTGCTGGGCCATGGGGTCTGTGGTTGCATTGAGGTTGCTCGCTTCAATATTCATCGTCGTGGTCACCTGGCACAGCATATGGATGGGGGTGGGAGCAGCAGGAGCAATTGAGACGGATGCATGGTGTGGGGACAAAAGCAGCATCAATCGCACGCACACGCACACACACACACATCATGACGCAAACAAACGGCAATCAGGGCGTCAAACAATTAGGTCGATGGGCACAGTAGAAGGGAGGAGGACAGGAAGGTGTGCACCTCACGTGATCGTCCTCGTCGTCATCATCGTTGTTGTCGTCGCTGGAGTCTGAGGACGAGTCTTCGCTCTCAATCGCCTCTCCATACTGCAGTTAATCATGGCAGTGGTGGTGGCATGGCGGAAATGGTGTGTGAGCACTCGCGCGCGTGGCGTGTGTGTGTGTGTGTGTGTGTGTGTGTGTGTGTGTGCCTGTTCCGCTGGTCAACGCCAGCAATACAGGAGCAGCAGCAGCAGCAGCAGCAGCACAGCAGCAGCAACAACAACAACAACAACAACAACAACAACAACAACAACAACAACAACAACAACAACAACAACAACAACAACAACAACAACAACAACAACAACAACAACAACAACAACAACAACAACAACAACACAGCAGCAGGCGGGGGGTGGGTGTCATGTGGGTTACACCGCATGCACCTTGCGGTCGACGTATTTGTCTCTGAGGAACTGCTCTGCCTGTTCAATGTCGTTCATGGGCGGTTGCAGGTCCTCTGGCGCCCGGCACAGATACACTGGCGCCCACACCGTTCGATATGCAGCACGTGAGCATCACAGACAGAAGAGCACGCCCATGTTCGAAGTGGGGGCGGGAGAGGCAGCACGACATACAGATGCATGTGTGCACATGGACAGCAAGTCAACAAAAGCATAACACATACACACACACAGACACGCAGACACACACAAAGGCTGGCCAAAGACGGGGGTGCATCACATAGAAACCTAAGACAGCAGTGCACCACAGCCATGCCCACACATGCTCACATTCTCGGGCGTTTTTGTTTCCAATCTTGCGGAGGTTGTCGACCTGCGATTGCGACCACGTGTCAAGGTTAATGTTCTTCACCTGCTCGCAAACACGCGAGGTGGTGGGTGCTGGGGTGAATTAAAGAGACTATGGTGATGGCAAGGGTAACGCTGGACAAGACTGCGAATGGCCTTGGATGAATGGAACTGGCGATTCACACAAACACACACACACACAAGCACACAAGCACACACACAGACACAGACGCAGCCATTGCCACAGCCAAAGCAGCACATACACACACACACACACACAACGCACGTTTGAGATGCGTGGCCCGAGGCTGCGGTGGAGGCCGGCGCAGGCGAGGCAGATGAAGACGCCAAGATTCCACGACGCCCACGTGGGGCCGTCACGACCGCAGTCGAAGCAGCACTTATTGTCGTCAAGCGACACAAGGTCCTTCAGCTCCTTGTGCAGCTTCTGCTGCTGCTGCTCGCTACGCGACGGCTGTCGTCGTTGCAATGGCATTCATTGTGTGCGGGTTGGGGAGGTGGGGGGGGGTGGCAAAAGGTCAGGAACAAGCAATGTGTAAAGAGAAGAAGCGCACCCGCACCAAAAGCACACACACACACACACACACACACACACACACACACACACACACACACACACACACACACACACACACACACACACACACACACACACACACACACACACACACACCTTTCGGCTTGCTGCTTGGGCTGTGGTGGATGTGGTGTGTGGGTGTTCGTCCTCGCGGCCGGTCAGCTGCCGCATCTTGGACAGCCACTCGTCGCAGTCCTGGGGTGTGTCGCAAAAGATGTGGTACGTTCTACCAGGCAGCTGGATCTCAAAGCGTGCGTTCTGATGTGGTGTGCACCGCAATCAGAGAGAGACAGGGGTGCGCCAGCATGAGCACAGGTCACAAACAGACCCCCGCTTGGGCATGGCTGACAAACATGTGCAGAGGTTGACATGCACACACACGCGCGCGCACAAGACAGACAGACAGACAGACACTGAAAGAAAGCAAGCAAGCAAGAAAGAAAGAAAGACAGACAGACAGACAGAGACAGACAGACAGACAGATACATCGACACACAGCAGGGCAGACCGACAGACAGACCGACAGATACACACACATGTGGATGCACAAGCAAGTGAACATGTCCCCAACAACACAAGCATTTCCAACCCCGCCCTGGTGACACACACACACACACACACACACACACACACACACACACACACACACACACACACACACACACACACACACACACACACACACACCACTGCTGCAGTCTTTGGCCAGGGCACGAGCGCGTCGCAGGCGTTGGGATCGTGAAAGTCGATGGCCTTTGTGATATCGATGACGCCGCGCGGCTTGGTCTGCAGAAAGTCCTGTGTCTTGTAGTATGTGAGCGTGCTGTCCTTCTTCAGCACAAAGTACCTTCGCCGCCAATTCTTGTTGATGTTGCCACGCTTCGTGGCTGCCACGCACACACACACACACATGCACACACATGCACACACAAGACATTGGCCATGGTTAGTCAGTCAAGCAAACAAACACTCAGTCAGTCAAGCAAACAAACACAAGTGTGCTGTTGTGCTTGCTGTCATCATATGTGTGTGTGAGTGTGTGTGTGTGCGTGTGTTCGGCGTCATCTTCTCCCAGCACACACCCACACCCACACACACCTACACACACCCACACACCATCCCCCCACACATACACCACATAGACACACATGCATGTGCGTACCCCAGCCAGCGCGGACGATGTCTGTCATGTCTTTCTCTCTATCTGTGGTTGTTTGTATGTGTGCGTGTGTGTGTGTCCGTGTGCGAGAGTGGCGGTTGTCGTCCTCCCAGCAAGCCAGCTCACGATCGGTGGATAGTCGGATGACTCACAGAAAATTGTGTGCGAATCTTACACGACGTGCGCATTAGTCGCGATGACTTTGACGTGATGAGCGCAGTGCAGAGATGAGGTGCTGTGTGACGTGTGACGTGTGCCGTCTGCGTCTTTGTGCCTCTGTTGTGTGCTCCTTCCCTTGTGTGTGTGTGTGTGTCTCCTCTCCTCCTCTCTGTGTTCCCTTCCCTCTAGTTGTGGCTTGCAAGTGATGAAAGCTTGCGCCTTCCATGATATGCAAGGGCAATCGTCTTCCTTTTTTGTTTGAAGGAGACCATGAACACCCTGTGCATACGTGATGTTGGGCGCAGGGGCACTGATGCTCGGCCAACGTGCTTGTGTGTACATGTGTATGCATGTATGTTTGTTTGGTGCTTTCCAACTCGCTGTGTATTTGCTTTCCTGCCCCATTTCTCCTCACACGCACACACACACACAACACACGCTTGCACTTGCAGGAGCTGTCACTTCATTGTGTGAGGAGACACAATAGTGAATGGTGGTGTGATGCGGCCTGGACAAGGGCCTTTCCTTGACAGGAAGAATGGCGTGTAACAAGAGATGAAGTAGGAGGCACCGTACGTGCTGTGGCAGAAAAGCACAGCAGCTTCGCGCTGGTCCAACACAAGGTCCAACACAACAAAGGCATGGTTCTCTGCAGCAAGGCAAACACAAGAAGAGGCACAAGAGGAACAAGAGGAACGCAAGAGGAACACAAGAGGAACGCAAAAGCGCAAAGAGGAGCAAACCGGCATGCGAAGAGCATGTGTCAGGTGACGGCGAGCCTGCTTGATCAGCCCAGCCCACCGGCTGAAGTGTTGACCCTCACGTCATGTCAATGAGCCGGGTGCTGTCGGCTCAAGGCGGTCCTGGCCGTGGCGGTGTTGCGTTTGGGCGTGGGCTTGGGCGGCTTATAGCTGAGCTGGCGCTCACGTCGGCGACGGGCTTCCTCCCGCGCATCGTCGTTGTTGCGGTTTGGCGTCTGCAGCACGCCAACCTTTGGCTTCCTCTTCCCAGCCACGTGCTTTGTGACAGAGCCTGGGGCCTCCTTGTTGCTGGCGCGCTGTGGGATTCTCGTCTCGCCTGCCCAACCAGTGCGTACATGTGTGTGTGTGTGTGTGCATGTGTGTGTGTGTGTGCATGCATGATAAAGTGAGAGGATAAACATGATTTGTTGGGCAAGTTGCTGCTGCTGCTGCTGCTGCTGCTGCTGTTGCTGATGTTGTTGTGTGTACGCTTGAAAGTTGCATGCGCTCGCTTCATCCCACCTCCCCCCTACTTCTTGTCTTCCCTCCAGCTCACACACGAAGAATCACCTACCGCTTGTCTGCAGGCATGATGTGATTGCGGCCTTTTGCTTCTTCTTCATCTGGGACGAACGCACGGTCGGGGCGGCGGCGTTGCTTGCAAGCAGCGACTTGTGCTGCGTCTTTCGCAGCTGCATATGGCGCGTGCATGCGTATGTGTGAGTGAGGCAGGGGCGAGTTGGGGCATGAGCCGGGTGACACAAGACAGAGGAACCGCTCTCAAACGAGAGCATGGTGGCATTGCTGGGTGTCAGTTCAAGACCGCAAGTATGGCCGCAGCTTCAGTCAGCCGCACCGTTACACACAGACACACACACACGCACAGACACACACACACAGACACACACACACACACACACACACACACACACACACACACACACACACACACACACACACACACACACACACAGATACGCCACACGCCACGACGGTGGGTTCTCACCAGCTGAGAGCCAGTTGGTTTGCGAAGTGCCGAGGATGACCGTGCGGGCTGCTGCTGCTGCTGTTTGCTCTTGTGCAGTTGCCGCTTCGTGCGCTGTGTGGTAATTGATGTTTGGTGTTTGGCGCGGACGCGTGCATTGTGTGTGAATAAGAAGCAAACGCCAATGGCACACATCAACGACAAGTCATGTGGCGTGCGTGCTTGTGTGTGTGTGTGTGTTTGTCTGTTTGTCTGTGTGTGTTTTGTGCGTGCGTGCTTGATGAAACTCGGTGATGCGAATAAAACAATACCACCGCTCGTACATGTGGTAGCAATTGCAGCAGTAAAAGTGAACACACAAAGACAGAGGGCGAGGGACAAACAGTCATACACACACACACACACACACACACACACACACACACACACACACACACACACACACACACAGAGAGAGAGAGAGAGAGAGAGAGAGAGAGAGAGAGAGAGAGACGAGAGAGAGAGAGAGAGTAGAGAGAGAGAGAGAGAGAGAGATTGTGATTTTATTGGAAGACACATTCATAGATACCTTATGTTTGATTTAGCGATATAGAGAGAGGGCTGTTTGTGGGGTACTCTGTCCGTGATAATTTTGGGGTTTGGATACTATTGAAACCCTGT